CGATAAGGTCAAGCGTGGTAAGAAACGGCCGGTTCTCGATTCAACTGACTCGGATTCTTATTATGTAGAGCCATGGCTGCCGTTCAACGGGTTGCTGAATCCTCACTGGAGATGCTGGTCGAGAAAGGACTTCAAGAATGGAATGTGTGAGAGGGGTGTTCCCAAGAGGATAAGAATCCGCCCTACGCCCATGTCGCCGCTCTCGCAGTGTGTGCTGGCTAGTGAGATTTAGGGATCACCGTGATGATGATGATGACGATAATAGGGTAGCTGGTTGTTATCAAGTCTGCTTGTTTGCTGGTTTCTCGCAGTTGAAGTTCGAAGATGTCCTTCTCGTGGTTTTGTTCACTCTGGTGGATTGTGGATATAGTGTGGGTGATGGGCCTTCCTGGGACTCAACTTGACATGGAGAACAGACTCTTACTTTTTTAGTACCTACGAAAGGTCACGCGTTCGAGGCCACAGAGCATGGTTTATCTGTCAACGAAGTAGACGGAAGGGGTGACATCGTTGCTGGGAGGTGGTGGTTGAAACGATATTTGCTATGAGATTTGCTGCCTGCCTTGTGACAATGTACTGCTGATTTGAACGGGGATGTATCTAAGCCGAAAAGACACGAAAAAAAAAAGTCTGTGTATTAGGCATTGAACAAATTCTTCATCAATTAAATAATAATCTTGTCAAAGAGCAGCGAGGCTGAATTGAAAGGGAATAAAAGGGGAGTTGACCGGACTCGGCCTGTTCATCAGGAAGTGAGATACAGCTAGGAAACAAGTAAGGAGAAGAAAAGATACATGCATCCACCGACCAGCCTGCCTATCCGAATATCACAGGGAGCTTATACCGACCGAACACCTAGCATGGAAGCAAAGTCATATATCATAGAGAAGATTAACACAGAAAGAAAGACAACAAGAAAAGACAAATTGATAGTAGGAAATTAAATGTCCAGTAAGAAAGTTACACGCTGACAAGCGAAAGTGAAAATAGGGTAAAGAAAGGGTATAAAAGCCATATCATCGACTGATATTCCTTGATCAACGGACAGGGACACGGAGATAAGAGACTGAGGGCTACTTTAATGAAGCCAGCTCCCTTTCCTTTGCACGCAAAGCTTCACGCATCTTCTCTGCCTCACGCTGCAGCTGAGCTCTTCTCGCCGCCTTGACGTTATCGTCAGCTGTGGGTGTAAGAGACGGCGGGGGAATAGAGTGGCTGCCATGTGCTGGCTGGGTAGACGGGGTTTTCACTGGATTCGGTGAATAAGAGCGACTGCCAGGTTGAGGTTGAGTTTGTGTCTGGGATCTGGCTGGAGGGTTTGAGCCAAGAGCAGAATCGACGTGGGATTCGGTAAAACTGGGATCTGTATGGTTGAGCAAGGAGGAGATTGAACTTAGACGGCCTGAATTTGGTAGACCGCGAGCACTTGCTGGGTATATGGGAGGGAGGTGTGCAGAAGCTGAAATGTCGGACTGTATACGAGTAGCTGGGGGTGCGGATTCAGTAGAGGTGCTTTCAGAGTGAGTCCGTTTCTTAGTGTTGGGGGAGTGATTGATCAGAGTGTTTAGGCCGGGGGAGGAGGTAGATTGTGTTGGTTTGCTGTAGTAGCCTGTGAAGTCGATAGGTGGAGGAGCACTATGAGGAAACTGGGCGGCCCCGTAGCTAGGTCCTCCATTCTCAGACGAAGGGTAGGCATTGCTATCGGCATTACTAGTTGCAAGGCTGGCAGAGTGTAGCTCAGGGGAGACTGAAGAATTGTCTGAAGACCCAGCTCCTGGAGAACGGTCTCTAAGAGCTGGAACGACCCGCTTTCGTCTTTTGATAACTGTTTTTTTCATAGCAACGGGCCGATGACTCCCATGAAGCCGGTAATAGAGGCCTGGACATCACTGATTAGCAAAGCTGCGAAGAAGAGATAAACTGAGAAGAGTCTACTTACCACAAGCATTACATATGGTATTCCCCTGGTCATCTCTCCTCCAGAGCGGAGTGAGGGTAGTGCCACAGTTCTGACAAGCCTTGGGCATTCCGCTGGCATCCTGGGATGCGCTGTCTAAAGCATCCAGTCCGCTCTGAGCCTGTTCTTCGCTTGTCTGAGCAGATGGAGATGCTCTCGCTTGACGGACTGAAGGAGCTCGAGGAGCTGCCTTGTATACGCGGTTATTGTACGCCGGGCATCCATCGCATCCTACCGCGCCGCCGGTTCCGTTACAGCTCCCGCCACCGGGACAGGTGCCTGCCGGAGTAGATCCACAGCCGGATGCGTTCTGAGCAGACACATCACTCGCAACAGGAGAAGCTCTTGGATCTGAAGTTGAGTTATTCGCATAGCCACTGCTTGCGTTTGCTCCGGAGTCACGGACCCGGTTTGTAGGTCTGTCCGTGTTTCTAGCTTTGAGATATAGGCCGCAAGCGTTGCAGATAGTTGAACCAGACAGTGATCGGCGCCATAAAGGAGTTCGTTTTGTTCCACAGTTCCTGCGTAGAGAATGCTATGTTAGCATATCTGCCTAGTAGACGTACGAACTGTGTAGGTGGTTGTAACATGCGAGCACTTACACACACTGGTGTCCCAAGAAGACCTCTGTATTCCGCGAAGCCTTTGGCGACGCTCTCGAGCGACTTGAGCTTTCTGGCGCCGATATTTGCTCCGAGGCTTGACTGTGCTGTTGCTGCTGCTGCTGCGACTCACTCTGATTTTGATCACTCGAGGCAGCGTCGTCCATGGCTGCACCTGTACCGACGCTTGCCTTATCTCCGTCAGGCGACCGGCTGGCGTCAAAGTTATCAGGCCGGAAGTCCGCGACGCCTCGCGCAGAAGAAACCAGCTGATGTGCAGCATCAAGGTCCTCGGCAGATGGCTGGCGTATCATATCGCGTTTTGTAGCTGGGAATCCGCGTACGGTATCTGATGAAGATCGAAGAGTGAGCATCGGCAGCGTCCGTACCTATCGGGTATATTTTCTTCTTAAAGAGACCCTCCTCCGTGAGAAGTCACCCCCCAAAATACGCTAGTAAGCCCGAGTCAAACGACGGGGCAACCGTTGGGGTAAAAGATAAGACTGTTTGTTTGCGATCGGGGGGGTCTTTTGGGGGTCGTTTGATCAGGACGTTTGCCACTGGCGAAAATGCTTCAAGCGACAAGCAGAGAGAGTTTTATACGCTGGACAATATATGCTATAGTAGGAGGGCGAGGGTAATATGGCAGCCTTCAGTGCTTCTGGTCCTTCGGTATTGAGTTAGCAACAATATTTGCTCATGTCTTGCCGGCTGCAGGCTCCTTTAAGCCGAAGCTTTGGACGGTCGAGAATGAGGAGTCGTTATACTGCGAAAGCCAGCGCTGACGAGAATAAGGAGAATGAAGGATCTTCTTACCAAAGGGGCCAACAGAGAAAAGGAGCTGAGACGACAGGACAGGCAGAGAAAGAAGACTGCGACAAGAGGATGACACGACAAGCGAAATAGTCAACCTACTATTGGCCAGGAGAGCGGAAGATTAAACTAGGCTCCCAAGATAAAAAAAGTCCCAAGTTGGAGAAATGAAAAAAAAGGAAGAAAAAATGCTTGTCCTTATCAGATCTTCACCAAGGTTTTCGCTTCCTTTTGTTTCGCTTGCCTGAGGTTACCCACAGGGTCGAGTGCCTCAGCTATTCTCTATACACTGATTCTGGGGGCGAAGGGACCGTTGAAAGCGAGGTTGAGACGGATCTGCTGCAAGCGCGCTCGCTTATGCTTGATTCTGGGTCGTGTGATGCTTTTTCTCTCCTTTCGTCATGGTGTTGCTGCGGCTGGTTCTGCGTACGTCCCTTTTTCACGGACGAGCGAATCTGATTATCTCCCCCGTTGATTATCTTATCTTGATCATCAGTGCACGCAGCACGCCACCGCAAGCTTTGAATCTCCGTCCTCCCGCCCTTTAATCCTTCCCTTCCGGTTATCGCCTAGATAAATATTTTCCTGACCTTGCCTTCTATTCTTCTCGTTGCACCTTTTTTTCTCTCCTCCTTTTACGCCCTCGTCGTCACATCTCGTCGTTCTTCCTCTTCGTCTTTCTGCTGATCAGATTTGCTGATAAGAAATTTAACCTCATCAGCCCCACTTGCTAGGCCGTCGCGCTTTCTTATTTTTGGGTCTTGGCGTTGGTAATGGCATCTACATGTTGTCTGATTGGCTAGAGACAAACGTAAGCATAACTCCGAGAATCTTGGTTGGTTATTTCCTTTTTTGGATCGGTAACACGTGATATTACCCTAGTCAGGGAAGTTCGCCCTAGCAAGGGACATGCATGCATTGACTCCAGACAGGGAAAAAAAAGGAGAAAAAGGGGCTAGCGGCAGGGAAAGTGGTGGACTCTTATACCTAAAGTAGCATACTACAGTACAGTGAAGCGGGAGCAAGTTGTGATAATAATGGTATATCCCAAATATGATACTAGCGGAAGACAAGAAGACCGGAAAGTTGTCGATAGGGGGTAGGTCAGTGAAGAAGAAACGGTATAGCCATCCCAGTTCTCATGTGCGTTGCAGGTAAGTAGGGGAAAAGGAATAATGTCGGGATGGATGTGGGATATTCGCAATATTAAGAGCAAGGGCTTAGCGGGATACTCTGTATCGGGAGCGAATTCTTGGTGCGTGTCAAGCTTAGATGGGCCAGGACCACCGTTAAACTTGCTCAGCGCCCCAGCCCGGGTCACCACCATCCTCGCGCATGTTGGCTGGTGGTTCTATGGATGGGATGTACTCGAGCACACAGTAGCCCAGGCCAACGATTCCGATAAGCGATCCGGCAATGATACGCAGAACGTTATACTCGAGGATGATGCAGCCGACGAAGACGTAGACTGCAGTAGATATTAGTAAGGCGCTATATACGTGGGGAATAAGGTTGATGCAACTTACAGATTCCTCGTCCGATGAAGGAGAACATGAAGGACGCATGTCTGGTTATGTATGGTGGAACGTTCGGTACCAGCTCCATACCAGCGGTGGCTGTGATAGAATGTCCACGTTAGTACATCCGTAAGCTATAACATAACATCCACAGCCAGATTATAGACTAGTCCGGACTATAGAAGCACCATACCTAGACCGAAAAGGATGACATAGACTCCAATGATGATATTTCGGCTAAAAAAACGCTAGTAAGTTCTCGCCCAAAATAATGGATCGACAGGCTCGGAAGATGAACTTACAACAGCGGGCCAGAAAAGAACTGACTGATTCCACCCAAGATCATTATAACACCCACCCCCAAGTTGACCAAACGGCTACAGAGTCAAGATATGTTAGCTTCCGGAGTTTTGAGAGAAATAACGCAGCCGCAGAGCCAGCATGGCGCAGGCGGTACTACCGCAGCATATACTCACAATGCATTAGAGAGATCCATTTTGCTTGTTGATATGATACACTAATTGAATGAACAGAGTTGTCGTGAAAGCTATCGTAAAAAGTTCCTCGTTTCTGTCTGGTATCTTCGGAATAACAAAGGGTGCAGAGGGGTGTATAAATTTCGGCGGTGTGCAATACGTTTCAAAAGACAAAAAGCGAATATTAGCCTAGTTTATAGAGCTCGTGGTCGTCGTGAGAGGAGGAATGTCGTGGCCTAGGCAGCGAGGGAGTTCGAGACAGCTAGCTTGCTGACGTCGGCGAGGCTTTAGCGAATAAGGGAGGGTTACGCTTAGCTATCAACACGATTAGCAACGCGATTCCCGATGACACAGAGATGGATGTCACTGATGAGAGCTTTAAAGCCATCACCTTACGTACCTTGGAGCTATTGTTGTTTGCTGTTGAAGCAATTATAAACGCAAGCATCAAGGCGCAAGCATTTGTTATTAGCTTAGTAAGAGATTACGTAGTTGTTGTCACGTGCCTTATTACCTCCTCCCGTTTTAGGAAAGGGGTATTAGTCAAGAGTTGATAGCTTGGAGTGAGAGCGTTTAATTGGGAACAGAATACATCTTATTATGTTTGTATAAAAATATTCAAATTTGGCTGTTTAATTGAGAACGAGTCCCTAAATCATATTCTCTTTAACTCACTGGCGATCTAAGTATGGGCTTCTCGGCGCCAGAGACGTTGACATCGAGGGCTTTACCTGATTAGCGGACACGTATACGGTAGAGGTCTTGGATACCCTAAAGCCGAGCTTTTATCTTCTTTTCTGCCAAAGTCTCCTTCACCAAAGCAGCAACTTCGGCACAGCATCCAAATGAAGTCTGGTATCCGAATCCGCCATGGCCGTAATTATGCACCACGGCAATGCCATCGATCTTGTCCTTTTCAACTCTCGTACCTCCTTGTCTAAGAGGCCGTAGGCCAACGCCATGGCGAATGATATCAAGACCCTCGATACCTCTCTGCTTGCCGTTTTCATCCTTGCCAACAAGTTGAGGGCAGACGGCAACGCATCGTCTCATTATGCGTACTGCTAGGCTGGGTTCTGGCTGGCTATCCCAGCTATTTACCTGGTAGGATCCGCCTAGGATAGTTCCGCCCCCTACAAAAACTGTTAGTCTTTAGTTGATTAGTGTGAAGTGAATACTTACCGGCTGCCCTCATCATCACGTAGCAAGCTTCGTCATCCCCATCATCACAGCCAGATAAGGAATACATGGCACCTGGGTCGTTTCGTACAACCACAACCTGGCCGCGAGCAGGGTACATCTTAGTATCCTCGACTCCGCCTAGCTTCAGTGACCCGAGGCCGGTACAGTTGACGATAACATCAGGCCTCTGGCCAGAGGAATGTACTTTGGCGGCTTCGGATAAATGTTTGAAGGTAGCACGCTTGAAAACGACTCCATTCTTGCAGCACTGTGATACCAACCATGCCAGGTAGATGGGCGCATTCATGCAAACTGAAGTGAACTCAGCTTGGTTATCTACTCCTTCTGGAAGATCACTATCGGGAGTAAGTGTGAACTTTGTAGACGGCTGTTAGCTATATCATGATCGTAATTTCGATTCAAACATGGGATATTTGGGTATAAGAGATCCATACACCAGGCACAATGTCCTTGTACCAAGGATCAGGACGGAGTAGCTCTTTGAACCATAGTCCTGTAGAAGAATTTGCATCCTTCTTTCGATTTATTACAACCGACTCTGTATTTATAAATTAGTATAGCTAATGTTTTAGACGTATTTTGAGCATTCTTACTTTGGAAATGTATGCCAGCTTCCGGGTGATTTTGAGCCAGGTCTTCAAGAACAGGCCAGGTGTTTGTTTCCCACCGGGCATGCGCAGAGCCTTCAGCACCAGTTCTATTCCACAAACAATGCGTGAATTGACCATTGATTAGCATACCGGAGGTAGAATGCAACTAGCCGGGCGGCCTGGGCCATGCCATGGCCCGACTAAAGTGAACCTTCATTAGGATCTGGAAAACCATTGAACATACGGAAGGAAGTTGGCACCAGCCCACATGGAGCAGTATTCAATGTCATAGTCCCCAGGCATATGCTTTGCAGCAACAGTGACCTGGTTCGACTTATCTTTGGAGAGCAAGTATGCGGTCGTTAACCCGATAACTCCACCCCTGCGAAAGGTGCATTAGAACAAAAGAACAAAGAGCAACACTTGAACCCTGGCACCAACATACCCAATAACAACAATTTTGTTAGTAGCCGCCATTCTGCTACGTGCAAGGAAGGCTTTTTGGTGGTTGATGAAGGGAAGACGAGCAAGCGAAGAGGACGAGGAATCAGACAAGCCCGAGGTAAAGCCGGGTTATAAATAACTAGTCATAGGCCAGAGCTTAACTTCGGGGCTCCGCTTCTCCGCGTTTGGGGAAATTACCGATATCAGCACAGCGAAGCATGGCTTCAGTGTGGCCTTGTTTGTCCAGTGTAACTTGGAGTCACTATCTTTTGTTAAATGGCTGGCCAGAAAAAAAGAGAAGTTTTAATTCATGCGACGCCTCATTTGGTTGTCAGAAAGCCTAGCGCCCTTGTTCGAGTAACACCCCAACTAGCGACCTCCCACCTAAGCATTTGACATATATAGCTGATAGCGGACACTCATATATTCCCCTACTTACGGTCTCAGCGGATTCTTGCAGTTGTCAGCCCCAGGAGCGTCAGCCCTAGCGGTACCCATCCGTTGATTTGACCCTGGAACCTGGAAACTTTACAGTCTAGTTCAAACAAGGGCGATAGCGGACCACCAATGCATCTAACGACGGAGGACCACTTGACTATATACCAGAAATCCAAAAGCTGCAAGGGTTTTACTCTCTAGGACTACTAACAGCGGCCTCAATGATGTTGTGGACACCAGGGCGAGCTTTGGTACAGACAGGCCATGCTTTCATCAATACGTTAAACTTGGGCATTCCGTCTATCTGCTGCAAGTAGAACTGTCACCTTTGCACGGTGTGTGGGCACTACGGAAGCGGTCATCTCGGTATTCTAGTTATGGTTCTCGAAGGTCTGGGATGATTTCCTCGGAGATAATACGCCTTTATCTTCGATATAAATAACTCGGGAGCAAATGCATATGGGTCCTTCATTTGCCGAGAGATGGCACTGATTCTAGTTTGTTTAAATAATAATCCTTATCCTTTAAATAGAGGACATTCCTATGCTTCATTCCAAGAATGAACCAATGACGAGGGGGAGTGATCAACAAACATCGTTGCTAGGCCCTAGAAGCGATGCTTGACGGTGTAAGGTTGAGTTGTTGATTATCTTTTTTTTTGGCCTGAAACCTTCGTCATTTTGATGACTGACTAATCCCTATATAACTAGCTCAATGCGTTTAAAAAAACCATAGAACGACCAGCAATTTTACCCGCAATTCTTTCCTCGAACATCCCAATTCAAGCCCCGAAGATGGATATGCACGATAAATTTACGAGATCATGCAAAATACACTCTATGTCAACAGGTCCGCGGACATCTAGTCACGATGTAGCGGTGTGGATCGTCGAAATACCTTGGACTACCTGGCTGACCATCAATGGACACTGGCTCCCATGCAGAGCACCCAGAGCGTTGGTACGGGGCTGGACGAAAATGACCAATCAATATGCTATATTTATGTCTTGCGTTGGAATATCGCTAAGCTGGGACTTTCTTCTCTGAGCGTGACCATCATTTACGTGAGAGTGAAGTTGTCGTCTGTCGCTGCCCACTACTTTGGAGGAGTGGCCCTGGGTTTATATATGTCCTGGATAGACATTGAATCTTTCCTGAATTTGGAGTGAAAAATCCTGTATATGCCTGCGGGATTAGCGCACTACCTGTGGTTCACACAGAACTTGATAGTTAACGTAATGAGGGGAGATAGTCTAGGCCCTAGCTACTCCGTACGGTTAACTCGTGAATAGACGTCAGAGGAGCTCTATCGAAATTAGGTTACTTGCCAGGGAATCCTTCGACTCTGGCGGCTTGATTTATAGCAGAGTTCTCCAGAACTCCTCTCCGGACCCATCTTTGCTCTTCCAGGAGGTACTGAAGGTAACCTATCCAGTACAGAATACAAAGTACAAGAGAATTAATTACCACGATTTTCTCTTCTGGTATTTGGTCTCTTTCGTCTCACTTTTGACGGGAAATACTCGCAACCGTGTTTCTGAGCTCACAAGGGGCGATGCGCCTTTTGGAGACAATGAAAAAGTAATAATGCCCTTCATTATTACACTAGCAGGCAATTGACACTGCAGGGGCATCCTTGCAGTACCATTATAACCGTTATGGAACCTTTGGAACCAGAGTAATGAAAGATGCTGGTCAATTTTTGGAGAAAATATCTGCTGTCCGCGGATTTTTGCTGCCTCCTGGCTTTTCAGAACAGTTATTACTGCGTATTGCTCTTCAGGCCGGAGGGGAAAAAATGGCAGAGATGGGGAAAAGCATTGGATCGATGCACTCTGCCTTCCAACTACTTAAGCTGACGGCTGTTAAAACACTGATGGCCGCAGCACTTATCTGGATGGTGATATTCCAGTACTGTCGATAACAGTTCTGGCGGGACCCTCACTCTGCCTTTTTCAACGACAGAGCTGGTGTATATGACTTGGGGTATAGTATGAGTCGAGAGAGAGAGGCGCACCGCTTCATTACTAGGAATAATGCGCGTGTCGAGCCGCCTGCTTCCGTCAAAGGTGGTGCGGATCCATTGTTCTGTGTTGCGTTTGTGACTGTCCGGAGAGAGGCAGATGACTACTTCGACCCGTCTATTGGATCTCTTCTCGTAGGACTTGATCCACGAGAAAGACGAACACTTCATCTTCGCATCCTCTTCGCCGATACGGACCCGAAGAGACATCCGAGTTGGGGCCAAATATGGGTTGACCGGCTCGCGGATGTCGCAGAGAGCTACAATGTCACTGCGAGTCAGTTGGAACATCTCAAGAAACTGGAAACTGAAAGGAATTATTATGAAAAAGGAGTGTTGTGAGTTTTGTTTTGTTCAGTTTTATACAGGAAGGTGCTGACCAGCTAATGATCATGTATACACCTTGAATTCCTGTAAGAAATCCAACGCCCCGTACACCGTGGTATTGGAGGACAACATCATCATCGCGGAGGGCTGAATGGCAAAGACGCTAAGAGCATTAGCCGATATCAAGCGAATGCCGTCGAAAAAACGACCTTGGATATACCTTCGCCTCTTCTACACAGAAACAGCCCTCGGGTGGGAGTCGTCTGACTTTGCCTATGGGAACATGCCTCTTGTCTTTGCAACTGCCATGCTGTTTACTTTCTCCTGTCTGGCCGTCGTCCGCCGGCTCCGCTCCTATCGTTCCCTGATCGACTTCCCTACCACTCTGGCAATAAGCGTGATCTGTGTCCCGGCCTTTATTGCCCTTATGTATATGATCGGAAAATACTCGTTATCCCCCCTACATGGAGTTGCGGAGATAGCTCCATACGGATGTTGTACGCAGGGAATGGTGTTCCCAGGGATCAGGTCGATGGTCTTAGAGCTTATCTTCAAAAGAGGAGCCATGGGCACACGGATACCATGATAGAAGAGTGTGCGGAAGAAAGCAAACTAACGAGATATGCTCTTATTCCGCAACAGCTGCAGCATGTCTGGCTCAAATTTAGTCGCGATAGCACCGAACTGAATGCGCAGAGTACTTGGGCTTTTTACTTTTGAGCAAAATGTACCGAAGCTACTGAGGAAGGAGCATGATGAAATTTTACAGGATAGAGAGATTGGAGTACTTTTGGATAAGCGCGGTGTAGGTAAATAGCAGAGAGGATACCCTCTGCATATATACATCCCTGCATATTACATTAATATTTTCATCTCTAAATGATATAAACTACGACTTGGCTCGAAACATATGAAAAAGAGTATACAGCACTAGCTTCTTGGGGTATTGGCCTGTTGTAGAAGTATCTGGGAGGAGCTGTAGTGTATGATGTTATCGATAGACGTCATTGACCCAGGTCAAATTTTCGTGACTCGGACGGTTTGCAGTAAGCTCGGGATATCTCGTTGCAAGGGGAAAAGTCAACGACGTCAGCGTTTAAGCTTGTTTTGCACAAATATTTCCAGCGCCATACAAACACACAAACTTAATACCGGATATCTCTAGTTGACGTCGGTCACGGCTTCCCTTGGGAAGTCAATAGCGTCATCGACTCGCTGTAGGAAAGAGTGATCTTGCCAGCTTGAAGATGGGTATAAATATCTCGCTTCCTGGCCTTCTTCCTCTTCTTCCTCTTCTTCTTCCTCTCTCACCAAAACTTCACTTCTTCATATCATGGTATCATACTAGACGAATAATATCATACTATCAAGCTGTTTTCAACACAGCATTGCCTCATCCTCACAGTGGTATATCGCGCTCTCATTCCACATCCACCCCACGAGCAGCCTACTGACTCCTGAAAATTCGAAACAACAGATATCCACCCTGCGATACCCTCGCATCACTGTGCTGTATATCCAAGGCCAGATACACTTCTTCTGGCCTTTTGATATCTAACGTTGTTGTTGTTGTTGGTAAGTCTTTCCCAAAGAAGCCTAGCGCCTGCTCCATGGGGCTCTGCAGCATCACATGACCTCCCCTCTCCCGTCTTACCTAAGCACATCCCTCTTGGCATCCTTAAGTCCATGTAACTTCCGAGCTTCCTCAGCGCAAGACGAGGCGAGAGACGACAGAGCAACAGGCTGTATCTATACAAGCAGACATCCAGCTCGTCTTGCTGCCGATCACCACCCTTTGCCTGCGCCTTTCTCTTTGCTTTGCCGGAAGCTGCGGGCTTCCCCGGCAAGGGCCCCGTTCCCATCCCATTCACAAGCTTCTCTCTTGGCCAGCCTTCTTTTCTTTTTCTGCTGCCTTCATTGTCTTTTCTTTTCTGGCCGATTGTTATACTCACCCTCTACTACACTCCTGCTACGTTCCCCTTGCATATACCTCTCTGTACCAGACGCCTCTCCCAGTGAGAGTGCACCTGCTGCTGCATTTCCACCGTTTGAGGGACTCTGATGCCCTCAATTGCTGCCTCTACTTCCCCATGATTGACTCACGGGCGGTACCACTTCGATCATGGCTGACTCCATCTCCCACGGCAGGATCGTGCCCATCATGTCTCCGGCAAGATTAACTTCTCAGCCGGGAGGCAAGGGGTCCGGGAAGCAGGCTGGGGGAGCAAAGATGCTGCAGGAGGACGACCTGCACATCGAGTGCCTGAAGGAGCGGCGGCTCTACGCCGTACCAACCCCGGGAGACGGTGAGTGTCACTGCATCGCCTTGAGAAGTAGTTGGGATGGCCTAGCTAACCGCTGTCATATAATGAAAAATAAAAAGGCAATTGCCTTTTTTACTCCCTTTCCGACCAGCTCTACGGTCACCAGGGCCGGCAAGGAGAAATCCGGGAACGACTGGTCGAACACATCCGCACAAACGCGGCATACTTTGTGCAGTTTGTGCCGGATGTAGGAGGGGAGAGGAGAGCTCCCAGGCGAGCAGCAGCTGCCCGGTCCAAATCACAGTCATACAGTGACCGGGCAGCGACCTCGGAGGGCCAGTGGGCCAAATTCGAGAAGCTGCTCACGCAGATGAAGGAGACCGGGTTCTGGGGCGGGTCGGTGGAGATCCAAGCCTTCTGCCAGGCTTACCAGAGGGATGTCTACGTCTATACAGACCAGGGCATCACTCCCTTCACCAGCCATGGTAGCCTGGAAGGCAGGGAGAACCAGCCGGTGCACATTGCCTATCACGTAAGTAATATATATATATATATATATATATTTATACATTATGTGTTAAGTTCACTAGCATAATCTAACGGTTATATATAGAACTTCCAGCACTATTCATCAGTGCGGAGTGTTGATGGGCCGCACGACGGGGTTCCTGAGCTCTCGCGGCCCCTGGGATGCCAGGGCAGCAGCTCATCCAGCGAG